AAACCATGAGTAAAAGACCCACCCCCAAGTAGGTTGGGCAGTGTCCTTTTCCCCTCAGGTTCTTAAGTCCAGCAACCCAAAAGTCCCTTTCACATGCCTGACCTTTCTCTGCACCCCACTCACAGTTGCTGTTCTTGGTCAGTGCAGCCCCAGAGTTCAGAGGTACATCTGCAGAGTTCACCTCCCACCCTGGGTGGGGGTAAGAGGCATCTTACTCGCTCTGCTGGCCGCTCACTGGCCACTGGCTCACCACTCTTGTCCTGCTCCTCTGCCGCCACCCTGCTGGCAGCTCATCATGCCTCTTTGCCGCCGCCCTGCTGGTCATTCATTCTCCAGCTGACTGTCAGTCACCTTCTCCCTCTCTGCTGTGACCTCTGCACATCAGTCTCTCATCGATTTTCAGTTCTTTTGCAGGCTGGGCAGAAACACAGTCCTACCACAGCTGGTTTCAGCTCTGATTGAGCAATTAAAATAACAAAAGAGGCTTCTCATTAAGCCTATTTACCTCTATTCTTTGAACAGTGCAGAAGAACAGGTTAAGCCAGTCTAGAGAGGACCTCTGGGGGCAGGGGTGTGCAGCCTCCTGATCAGGACTCCTGTCCCCACCCCTCTTACTTTCACAGGGCTTTGGCAGTGGAGCCCCTGGCTTAATGAGGTCCTCTCCGCTAAGGATGGCCCCCCCCTCCCCCGCATGTGGAACAGGTTAAGCACAGTCCTGCTTTCCTGCATTCCCACAATAATCACAACATTGATAACAGCATTTCACTACCCACTGCATTCAGTACTGATGTGATTTGCGACCCAACACCAGCCAAGTTGATTACAATGAGCAAAACACCATTGCTTCTGCTGAATATCTAAGCAAAGCAGGACCAAACTGTATTCACATAACCAGACCCAGAGTCTCTCCCACTCCCAGCTAGCCATCAGGGAAGCATTCATTCAGACTTTGCTTACATCCTCCCCCCCAGCCTAGAATTTGTCGTCCCGGCAAATCACGATCCAGATTTATACCAACTGCATGAGTTCTCCACAAAGGGTCTGAGGAAATCCACTATGGCTGCCACAAGCCTGTGAGCTAAGTGTACCACTTCCTCACTAATCACTCCAGGTGGATCGTAAGTTAGCCTGTTTACTGGCCTTATAACCCTGTTGTGCCTATTGAGAGTGGGCATGGCAGGGGCAGTGGGGACTTCTTCTGGGAATAGGGATGATGAACGGGGTTCCCTTGAGGGTACCCCCTCGACTGGTACAGGCCCCTGCATCTCTTGCTCAGATACTGGAATGTCCAGGGCATCAGGGATACTTGCCACTTGTATGTCCCCTCTGTCCAGCAACCTAGGTGTATCATCACAGGTCATGGTACATCCCATAAGGGGTGCCTACCAATTCCTCCACAGATACGAGGAGGTTTCTATGTACCATCTTTATGTGCCCTAGCCCTGTCTCAGGTTTAATCTTGTAGACTGGCAGATCTCCCAGTTTTACCAAGTAAGGTATTGCCTTCCATCTATCAGCAATCTTATGTTTGCTAGCAACACCCACATTTCGTAGCAGAACTCTGTCTCCTGGCTGGAGCTCCTGCGAATGCATCCTAGCATCATACCAGTGCTTGTTACTATCTGAGTTCTTGTGGGCAGCAGCCATAGTCAAGCGATAAGCATCCTGCAGTTTTTCTCTTAGTCGGGAAACATACTGCAGATGTGTCTCATATCTTTCTCCATCCTCTGATACCCTGAAGCACAGGTCTATGGGTAATCTAGGCTCGTGCCCAAACATCAAGAGATATGGGATGACTCCTGTAGCATCATTCTTCATGGCATTGTAGGAATGCACCAAAACCACAACATTCTGGCTCTAGGTTGCTTTCTGTTCTGGACGTAAACTCCCCAGCATATCTAACAGAGTCCAATTGAATTGATCTGACTGAGGGTCACCTTGCAGGTGGTAAGGTGTTGTTCTGGACTTCTTAATTCCTGCCATCCTTAGTATCTCCTTCAAGGGGTGACTCTCAAAGTCCTGTCCCTGATCAGAGTGTATCAGATACGGGAATCCATACACTGAAAAATATTTCTCCCAGAATACTCGAGTAACTGTGGTGCCCTATGGTCTTTTATGGGATATGCCTGTGCATACCATGTAAAATGGTCAGTTACTACTAAGATGTTCCCAACATTCCTCCTGTCCACTTCTAAAGACAAAAAATTAATGCATACCAGCTCCAAAGGTTTGCTGCTTGTGATATACTTCACATATGCTGCTCTAGTGGCCAAAGTTTTCCTTTGAACACACCAAGCACATGTCTCAAATTTCTTGTGTACGT